AAGCCAGCCTCACCTGCATAGTGAGACCTGTCTCAACAACAAAAATAAATTGTAAATTCTTAGCAAGAGAGATGACCATGGTTAGTTGGGCATAGTGATACATGCTTATAATATCATTTACTTAGGATGTTGAAATAAGAGGATTACTTGAGACCAATCTAGGTCTCTTAGCTATTGTCTTGTTCAAAATTATAAATAAATAGGATTATAGATATAGATGGTTTGCTCAGCATGTACCAGGCCCTGGTTCAATCCCTAGTACCACAGGGTGGGCGGTAGATGGAGATCAGAGGTAGAGCCCTGGCCTGCCATAAACAAGGCCCAGGGTCTGTCTGATCCCTAGCAAGTTCATCCCTCAGAAGAAAACATGGCAGATTTGTTGGACCATGTGGGAAAAGAAGTGTATGTTCAGATATAAATTTAGTTCAGAGATGGAAAACCAAGGGCCTTGAATATCATAGAAGATATTTTTATTTCCATCTTTAAGCATAGATAATCCTTAAAGATTTCTTATCATAATCAAAGTTTGGCTTCAGAAAAATGAGTCTGGCTTCATGAATCTGATGGATTGGAGAAAGGGTTGATTAGAAAGAGACACAGTGGCTAGGTATGGCAGCGCAGACCTGTAATCCCAGCACTCAGGAGGCTGAGGCAGGAGGATCATTGCAAGTTTGAGACCAGCCTGAGCTACAAAGTGAGTTCAAAGCCAGCCTCACCTGCATAGTGAGACCTGTCTCAGGAGGAAAAAAAATGATAAAAAAAAAAAGAAAGACACAGTGGTCAGGATGGATGCTCAGGGACATCTCCGGGGGGGCAAGCTTGGTGGTATGGATGGAAGGGGACCTTACTTCAGAACTGGGACTGAGGGAGCTTGGGAAGGGCCAGCGGCCAGGAGGCAAGTATTCTTTGTCTTCTGCTGTTCCAGGTAACATCCTTGCTGGAGTTGGTAAAGTCCTGCAGTGAACAGTCTCCTCAGGCTTCTGCACTATATTATGATGAGTTTGCCAACCTGATCCAAGCAGGAAACATGGCTCCAAAGACATTGGTAAGGTCCAGTGTCTCTTCTCAAAGTGATAAAGCATGAGAGTTCTACATAGATCATCCTGTGAGCTCTCCCAAAATGTGTTTGAGAGGGTGGTTCTATCCATCCTCCCTTGGGCTGGGCCTTCATCTCCAGCCTCCTCCACCTAACAGTAATCACAGTAATGGGGAAGAAGTGGAGGATGTGCTTGGCATTGGTGATGTTGACAGATGCCATCTGTTGGCAGCCCTGGTCTATGCCAGGCACTATGCTAAGTACTTTCTGCACATTCTCTCTTTTCCCCTTCATAGTAGGAGGTAGGTATTGGTCCTTCCTTTATAGAAATGAGAAAACTAAGACTTGGTAAAGTCCACAGTCACTTATCTAGGGCTGTAGAGCAAGTACACATTAGAGCACACTGTCTTTTTGTTTACTTCCTGCAGGAATGGGTTGGGAAGACTATCTGTGATGATTTCCAAGATGCCTTTGTGGTGGACCTCTGTGATGTCTCGGAAGGGTGAGTGCTGTTTGCCTGTTGCTTTGGTTGCACTGGTGAGGAAGTCACGCCAGCTCTTTCAGTAGCTGATACAAAATTTATAATGTCCTTCACCACAGCCAAGTCTGCCCAGCCCACAGCTTCTATCCTCACAGCCGTAACCCTGACTGCAGAATTGGTAAAAGTCCCTACTTGGTTTTTTTAGTGTTTCTAACGTCTCTCCATAATAGTTTTATTTAAAATTGGTTTGTTCTAGTGGTTTCCTCCATAGCCTTGCTCACCACTGAGCTAGGGCATGAGATTTTGGCTTCTCTGTCTTCACAGTGCACTTCCGTTTCCTGTGAAAGCTCTCTATGGACTGGAAGAATACAATACTCAAGATGGGATTGCCATCAATCTCCTGCCTCTACTCCTCTCTGAGGAATGTGCAAAAGATGGGGGTCCGATAACTTCACAAGAATCAGACAAAAAGTCAGTATAATCCCCTGTAAAACCTGTTTTTGTTGGGAATGTTCATGGAGAATTTTACAGTTCTTTCCATCTGTAGGGAACTTGAGTTAAAGGGATTCTCCCAAGATAAATGATATTTGGAGGATTAGAAGGAATGGGACAGATTCCTTATTTTTTCCTGGGATCTTGAGGCTGAAATTGATGTTGTTTCCTGAGAGTACACAGATGTTCTGTGAGGCAATTTTCTCTTCTGTTCTCTGTTCCTTTCCCCTTTTCTTTCTTGTGAACGTTGTTGGCTACTTCTACCTTTCTCACCCTCTCCTTCCGTCTTACCTGTGTTTCTCTTTTCTACATAGCTCCTTTTTGCAATTTAGGTCATTGTTGACTGAGCATTCTTTAAGCCTAGGAGGCATTTATTTGGGGGAAATTTTTTTAAATTATAAAGACAGGCGGGGGCTGGAGAGATGGCTCAGTAGAATAAGTGCTTGCCTGGCAAGTGGAAAGGCCTGAGTTCAATCCCCGATTCCATCAAAAAAAAAAAAAAAAAAAAGACAAGCACCTGATAAACATAGACTTATATAAAGATGACTATGAAGTGTCTAAAAATGGATTTTTTCTTCTCAGACTGGTGTCTCCATTGTGCCTGGCTCCTTATTTCCGATTATTGAGATTTTGTATGGCAAAACAACATAATGGAAGCCTAGAGGAGATTGATGGTTTATTAGGTATGGAATGAAGACTTGGATCTTCTTTGTGGCATTTTGGCCAAACAGATAAAGGTCAAACTAGTACATGATGTAGGTAGGAAAAAATTTCTAATTTTACAGAACAATACAGCAACAGTAATGAAATTCTGGAGATAAAATAGTATGTATGGGATCATATTATGTTAACATTAACAGATTAGTTATTGTAGTTCCATATTGATTTTCAGTGGTTCTCTTTATAATTGTCATAAAACTTGCTCATCATAACATGGGCATGGTGGCGCTATATGTATA